TTAATATTTTTTATTATTTTAACTTTATTGAGATTTTTTTTGGCAGCTATCAGGAGAATATTTAAGTGAAATTTAATTCGAATAGATGGGTGTGGTATGTAAACAAAATAGCAAACAAATATTAGATAAAATTTAGAACTAATTAATGAATATTAGGTCTAATCCATTCCTATTTTGATATAATGTTTTGAAGTAAATATTTTTCGGTTATTCATCTCTCATCTATTATAATGATGACACATAGTTCAATAATGTAAGTACGTATCTTCTCCATTTTCAGATAATAATTGTACGTATTAGAGTAATGTTTGGTGGGCTGAATTTTCTTTCTTATCGAAATCGTTGTTGATGTCTAGTAAGTTTTATTATTGCCCATTTGACATTATTTTATTAAAAAATAAGGAAAACAAATCAAATGGAATTGAATTTCCCTGCATTTGGCGTCATTCGTTTCACTTTAGCTTTAATCTGTGCAAAATATATCGAACAGAATTTTTCTTTTTTTTATTACTTTGTCTTGTACCATTATGAACCGTAAATTTATTTGTTGAATTTTACTGAACGTTATAGCTCATAACACCACTCCAAACCTTATTCTCAGTAGATCAAATGCGTCCAAAATTTGATGCTAGAGTTGGCTCGCGGCCATCATCATGTGAATGAGTAAAATAATGGATAGTTGCATAATAGTAATAATAATAAGAATGATTTACATAAATACTATTTAATTCTAATGTTTTTACACATCTAATCGCTTAACTTTAATTTGTACTTATAGTTGTCGCTATGGCTGTAAGCCGAGTAAGGGTCCACTCAAAATCGGCCAAAATAAAATTTTATTCAAAATTTAGCTCTTGTAGCTCAGCTCTTTTTTTTTTAGATATCGACCAGAGCCAAACTTCAATTCAATTTCCAAGCGATTAATGACCGCTAAATTCATAGATCTAATATTACTAGGGCTGTTAACGATTCAAAATTTTGGCTTGTAACTCAGTTTTGTTTATTTCGATTAGATCTCAATCTAACCCGAAATTTAAATTAATTTTCAAATAATTAGCAATTTTAGAGCTAAAATCACAGCCCTACATGCCACATAACTTACCCATAAAAAAAGTTTTTAACCATTTAAAAGTTAAAAAAGTGATTATTTTTAGGTGATATAAGAATCTTCGGTGTAGGAATACAAAAAGCAAAATTTAGGTCAATAATAATGATGCAAGGTTACTTAAAAAACATAGGAAAGAAAGTTTTAGAAAAAAAGAATATAGAGAGTAGATGAAAATCGTTTTTATAATCTATTATTTCTATCATTAAGTTTTTGTGTATCTATTGTTATAAAAAATTTGTGAATGAAATAGTATAGAATATTTATACTCTAAATTTTATTAAAATTCTTGATTTATTTTACGAATCAATTTATTTTTGAAAATTTATTCAGATTGATTGAAAGAACTGTTAATTCGTTCATCCCATCGAATATACTTACTTGTGACTTAATTTTCTTAAAATAAGCTGTTATGTATGTAAATCCCCCGGAATATTATTTCATTTAGTTCTTATATATTTTTTTTATTTTGAAATTTTGAATAAGTTTAATGAAGAGTTCTCCAACGAGCATGGGAAGACAAATATAGCAGCTGCCTATATTCATATATCTGGGTTGCACAACGATGGTGCCGCCCGGGGTAAGTAGGTCCCGCCGCGGGACACGCATTCTGTGGCAGCTGTCAGGCGAATATTTAAGTGAAATTTAATTCGAATAGATGTGTGTGGTATGTAAACAAAATATCAAACAAATATTAGATAAAATTTAGAACAAATTAATGAATATTAGGTCTAATCCATTCCAATTTTGATATAATGTTTTGAAGTAAATATTTTTCGGTTATTCATCTCTCATCTATTATAATGATGACACATAGTTCAATAATGTAAGTACGTATCTTCTCCATTTTCAGATAATAATTGTACGTATTAGAGTAATGTTTGGTGGGCTGAATTTTCTTTCTTATCGAAATCGTTGTTGATGTCTAGTAAGTTTTATTATTGCCCATTTGACATTATTTTATTAAAAAATAAGGAAAACAAATCAAATGGAATTGAATTTCCCTGCATTTGGCATCATTCGTTTCACTTTAGCTTAAATCTGTGCAAAATATATCGAACAGAATTTTTCTTTTTTTTATTACTTTGTCTTGTATCATTATGAACCGTAAATTTATTTGTTGAATTTTACTGAACATTATAACTCATAACACCACTCCAAACCTTATTCTCAGTAGATCAAATGCGTCCAAAATTTGATGCTAGAGTTGGCTCGCGGCCATCATCATGTGAATGAGTAAAATAATGGATAGTTGCATAATAGTAATAATAATAAGAATGATTTACATAAATACTATTTAATTCTAATGTTTTTACACATCTAATCGCTTAACTTTAATTTGTACTTATAGTTGTCGCTATGGCTGTAAGCCGAGTAAGGGTCCACTCAAAATCGGCCAAAATAAAATTTTATTCAAAATTTAGCTCTTGTAGCTCAGCTCTTTTTTTTTTAGATATCGACCAGAGCCAAACTTCAATTCAATTTCCAAGCGATTAATGACCGCTAAATTCATAGATCTAATATTACTAGGGCTGTTAACGATTCAAAATTTTGGCTTGTAACTCAGTTTTGTTTATTTCGATTAGATCTCAATCTAACCCGAAATTTAAATTAATTTTCAAATAATTAGCAATTTTAGAGCTAAAATCACAGCCCTACATGCCACATAACTTACCCATAAAAAAAGTTTTTAACCATTTAAAAGTTAAAAAAGTGATTATTTTTAGGTGATATAAGAATCTTCGGTGTAGGAATACAAAAAGCAAAATTTAGGTCAATAATAATGATGCAAGGTTACTTAAAAAACATAGGAAAGAAAGTTTTAGAAAAAAAGAATATAGAGAGTAGATGAAAATCGTTTTTATAATCTATTATTTCTATCATTAAGTTTTTGTGTATCTATTGTTATAAAAAATTTGTGAATGAAATAGTATAGAATATTTATACTCTAAATTTTATTAAAATTCTTGATTTATTTTACGAATCAATTTATTTTTGAAAATTTATTCAGATTGATTGAAAGAACTGTTAATTCGTTCATCCCATCGAATATACTTACTTGTGACTTAATTTTCTTAAAATAAGATGTTATGTATGTAAATCCCCCGGAATATTATTTCATTTAGTTCTTATATATTTTTTTTATTTTGAAATTTTGAATAAGTTTAATGAAGAGTTCTCCAACGAGCATGGGAAGACAAATATAGCAGCTGCCTATATTCATATATCTGGGTTGCACAACGATGGTGCCGCCCGGGGTAAGTAGGTCCCGCCGCGGGACACGCATTCGCTGTGCCATGACTGGGCCAGCTGCTAATTTGTAATCTTGTTAGCGTAATTCCCCAAGAAATATATCTGCTGGGTCCTACAGGGACAGTATTTTTATTTTCTATAAATTTTTTTTCCGCATTTGTCGGGAAGTCAGAATGGGCGGTTTGTCATTTTGATCTCCAAGGGTTTCGTGAGGGTGACTGTTACTTGGGATATGCTATTTTATTCACCAAATATTGCACAAAAATTTTAGTAAGTAAAATTTCAAAGCGATTAAACTTATATAATAGTCATTAAACCTAATTAATCCATCCTATAAAAATCTTATATATATATAACTTATATATATATATATATATATGACACACTAGCACACATATATGCACAAATATATATGCACATATGTATACATATTAATGTGGTCTGCATGATATGTTGAGCTTGGTTGATTAGGTCCGACTAATTGATCCAACCTGGTAAAATTTTCTCGATCGTCAATGAGGAGCTTTAGAGTCTCCACATGATTGTTGGAGATACTTTGTAGTACTTGATCATCCTTTGGATTAACTCTATGACGTGGTGACTGCTGCATTGATCTAGCTTTTCTGTAGTGGTTGACTCTGCTGTTTTTTCATCTCCTTTTTCGCTGGCTGGCTCGTGCTTAATTCATTTGGTCATTTTCTTGTTCGTTTCGTGGCTCGATCTATTTTGGCTTAGTTGGCTTGGCTTGTTACATTAGGTGGCCCCCACGATCTTCGAACAGTGAGCTTGGCTTCAACAAATTATTCTCTTATAAACTGAGATCTCTTTTAGTACAAAGAACTTTTTGATGTACAATATATATATATATATACATACCTACGTATGTACGTACGTATATATTCATATACATACATATGTATATAGATACATACATATATACAATTATACATACATATACATATAAATACATACGTACATACATACAATCGGATAAAACACGTTTCAAAGGTTATAGCCTTCATAATGAGACACTATATGAGTAATGGGCTTTTCCAACGGGCAAATTCCGTAGGTTCTGATGAAAAAGCCGTCGTTTTTAATGTTTCCCACTATTTATTGATTGTTTTACGCTCATAGGAAAAACTGTTGTCTGTAATTTCAAAACGGACTGATATTCTGACTATATAAAATTACCAACGCATAACCAACAACCTAATGTGATAGCTTTTTCTGATAAATTTTCAAATTATCGGTTTTCATCATTTCATATAATCGATGGTTATTCCGTCAGTAATAACGACATCGTATAGGTCAGAAAAGTGTCGCGCACATTGATTTTTTGACACAGGCAAACTGTCAGTCATGTGACGTTGTTGTGTCGATTTTGTTAATCAACGGATAAACAATCAAACAAGTGTCGTGCCCATCATTTTCGTATGATGCACGTAAAGTCGTCTGGTTTGTATCAGTTATTTATTGATAAATAAGTCCATCGGCTAGCTATCAGTTTTGCCTACAGATATGTTAAAAACAATGTGGTATGTATCATGTATATAAATTTTCCTATTTAAATTATAAGATTTTAAAATAAAATATTGTACATTATAATTATCATGCATATAACGTAAATAATGATTGGCCATCAATTTGGAGACTGCCTTATCTACAGGCCGCTGAAGTCTTGATTTGCTGTAAATGGACAAGCCCGCCAAAATTTGCGCTTGCATAAAAAAGATAAAATAAAATAATATGAAATAATTAATAACTTCATTTGCATATTGTGTTAATTCGTCAAAATAAGTAAGCTAAGCTAATTCATTGGAAAATGATGAAATAAAGCTAAAATAAAATTATGATAAATGTGTTTTTTTGAAATTTGGCTTATGGATATTTCTTTAATAAGTTAAAAAATTGTGATAATGATTTTAATGGCAATTATATTTATTTTAAGGCTACTCAAAATTTATTTTATAAAAAAATGCTTTTTTTTTCTTTTTACTAAAAATAATAAAAAGCATAATTTTAATGAAAATTTTGCTTATTAATAGATTAATTGGCAATTATAATTATATATTTAAATGCTGAATAATTTGCTTTAATGAATAATTCTATTTAGTTTAAATTTCCTTGTTTATCATGAGAGAGAACCTTTATCTTAACCATATTATTTTTCATCCTGCTAAAACGCTACTCTGAGATAAATTAAACTAAAATTGCTTTAAAAAAATGATACAATAGGCATCTCGGCTAAGCTTACGGTCCAGACAAACGCCAAAGTTCTTGTTAAGTAGGAAAGAGAAAAACTCTAGTGAGTATTTTCTCCCTCGTCATTTTATGCACATTCCCAACTACACGAATTCTTTTGTAAAAATATGATAAACTCGTTCAAAGCATGTCGGGTGGCAGGACACTAACATTTGGTAATTTAATTGTGAGCTGCATCGATGGTGCATTTTAGCCATTGGATGAATAATCCGATAGTGTTGCTTGGTGTTGCTTTTAATTATTCTCTTTTCACGAATACACCATTGCATGAAAATCCACTTGCAGTACTCTCACACGTATTCTAATGGTAAAGCCATACCTTTGTTAGGGATTATAAAAATAACTTTCATAATTATCTCATTAATTTAAAAAAAATTTCCATTTGTATATCTAACACCTAGATTGTTATGTTTGCTTAGATAAGGCATGAATTTCTAAATCACATCATATATTAACATACCTAAAGTGATATAGATCTTTTCACGTACATGTTTTAATCAGGTTTAAATATTAGAGTGCTTAATATATAGATTTGAGTGTTCAATGTGTATACTTATAAACATTTTGTGGTATGAATATAAATCCCTTTAACTTAAGTTTTATAATATATAAAGATTTTGATATCAATATTCTTAAAATGTAAAATATAAATATGTTATAAACATTCTCAATATTTTTTCAACAAACGTCACTCTAAATAATGCACAAATAACAAAAAAATCTAAAATACTGTGTTTTTCATATAAAATTGCAAATGAAGTCAATAGCTTGTTGATAATAAATTGAGAGTAGACATAAACTATAATTAAAGAAATTGATTAAGATTATTACTTGTATAATTCTATATTTAAATGATCATTTTATTATTTTTTAGAGTTGCAGTCAAACATCATTATCATCATTAGAATCAATAATTTGAATTTTTTATTTTTTTCATTTGTTTTTTTTAGTGTTGATTATGATATTAAAAATATTCTTCATAAATTATTTTGAGAAAATAATATTAGTCGAATGTCTACCCTCATTTACTTCCTAATCTTTTAATATTAAATTTACCAACTTGTTTAATGATATAATTTATATTCTTTGTTGCACATGTCTAATTAGGCAAGTTTGTTTTAGCTACACCATCATTAATTGATGAAAACCCACTCATTCCTCCATTATAATCATTCCTTATGTATTTAATCCGAGTTTATCACACATTAATATTAAAATTCTATTTTCTATTATATGCATATCATTATTCTCATTTCAGAAGTGCAATGAATTTTCTTAACAAACAGAAAAATCACTCCCTATGCATATATGATGAAGGGCCTAATGTTTTTCTATTATCTCAATTGATTATTAATATTTTTTTGCTGGTAAAGAAAACTACAATAAATCAGCTTAAACTAGTTGTATTGTCTTTTTAATAGTTTGAGTTATTTAATTATGTGCAAAGAAAGTACAATTTTACTTTAATTTAAGCAAAAAAAAAATTTCTTGAAGTACAATTTTACTTTAATTTAAGCAAAAAAAAAAAAATTTCTTCGTACTATTTGCTTATTAATTTCATTACTTTTAAATGGAAACATATTATGTGAAGTGAGAATTTTTTTTAATTCAATTTAATTTTGAAACTAAAGTTTTCACATTGAGGCAGTTTTGAGTAGTTTTGGGACACTTAAAATCAATCTTAAAATCAAATTTGCAATCAACTAATTAGTGGATTTAACAAATTTCATTTTTTTCAGTACATAAGTATTATCTTCAAAAAATTAAATAGCTAAGTATTTTGTTTATTTTTTTTAGATGAGCCATGCACTAATAAGAGTAATAGGTAGCTAATATTATTAAAAAATTTCCCTAACCACCTTGATAGCAATTACATTGTCCGTGAGGAACACCCTTCGGATGAAAAATGAGAACAATCTTTCACTGCTTTGTCCCAATTACCACTTTTCAAATTTTGCATATATTCTACTTCTCTTTTTTCTATTTTGACAGGCAATCAATAGACATTTATAGCGGTGTGACACCACCAACAATCGGATTTCTAGGGACACCAAATTTGAGTAGGTTTGGGAGCTCATTCTTGAATAATTCATTCAGAGGACGCCATACCTCTGAGATCCTCAACTCCCTCATCAAACCATTGCTCCCTACTCAAGCCGAAGATGAACAACAACAAAGAAAGAGCTCCCACTTATTGGTCATTGCCCCACGCCAATGTTCCTACACCCAAGGTGTCTTCAACGGTAAAGTCATTTTTCTCGTTTTGCATATCTCTCGACGTGCATTTGGGTTGCTATAATAATTAGTACTTGGTATATGATGTCCAAAGAAATAATTTGATTAGATTTCTCATCCTCATGAAAGATATTAAAAAGTTGTTGTCTATAATTTATATTATTAAATAATTTTAGGATTTTATTCCTAAGGTAATTTTTTTTTTTTAAGAAAACTCATTTTTAAAATTTTAATGAGATGTACCTACTTTGTCATACATTTTATCAAAGTGAGTGTCCATTATTCTTCAAAATTAAATGAAAAGCTCAACTATTACACCAAAACTAGCATTGATAATGTTTTATATATGTTTTGTCTTCGAAAAATTGTTATGCATCATATCGGGATTTTTCTTAAAAAAAATTGTAATAAAGACGTTATAATGAGCATGCATTATTTCTACAAGTCTTGATGATATAGTTAAGACTTCTTTCATGTTTTAAAATATATTATAATAATAAAGCATTATCAATAAATTGCACTATAGCTTGTTCTATTCTTCAAATAGATCCAAGTTCATGTAAATGAGACACCATAGGCCATCTCCATATATCAAAATTTAGGTTACAAGAGTATGACTTTAAAGGGTTTTTTTAAATAAAAATGACTAAATAAATAAGAATTTGGCAGCTGCTGCCAAAATGGTTATGAATTAAATTGTTTATATAGAATAATGAGATTTTTTAATCTATTTTTAAATTCAATTTATGATTGTTTACTTTGATGTTAGCAAGCATATCATAACCTTCTTTTTTTATGTATAATAACAACCTAATTGGGTAGGCCCTATGAAATCATTACATGAATTATAGAGATGGATTGATGGATTGAGTCAACTGAGATGTGACAAATGATGTGTTGGAAAAATCAAAGTGTGTGACTTTGAAGCTAGTGAGTTATAAATAATATGTGTAGCAAGTCATTTGTAGTGGTGAGTTGTACCCTTAGAATTAGTTGTAGAAGGGCATATAAGGATAGAGGAGTTATAATTTCATTTCCTAAAAAAAGTGATTGATAAATCATAAAGTGTGTGATTCAAACTTGTGTCCTTGGATATAAAATCATGACTTTTAATAAATACGACCAATGTCCTTACTAGAGTGGAATATTTGATATTAAAGAAAGGTTGTATTGTGCTTTCGTCCTTATTGGTTACACCTACATATGACTTCTAATAAGTATTCTTTCTGCTACTCATGAATAGGATTATGAAAAGGATTCTCACACCTTTTCATCGTATAATCTAACTATGAAATTTTAATTCAATCATTTTATCCAATTGGTTACTTACAAAAATATAAACCATTTAAATTCATCAAAGAGATTTAGCTTTAGTACATGATTGATGAATATGATGTGTTGTTGTCTAAGAAATTCTAGTAGCTTAGTTTCTATTAATCACCTCCATTTGCCTATCTATTTTTGAATGAAAAATTAATATCATTTAATGTCATTCCACTAAATTAAAATGATTCTCGTAAAAAAGGTATAAAATATGGCTTCATGATCTAATACAATAAATTTTGAAAGACCTTACAACTTAAAGGTAAAAATTAGCTTATCAAAACTATGGAATGGTCATAATTTGAAATTCAATTGATAACCACTAAGACTATCGTTCCTTAAAACTTTGGCAACCAAATTAGAAGATCCATAAAGATTTCACCATGGCTCGTTGAAGGAATTTGATGGTGGTTGGAATAATCTTGTTCTACATTAACTTCCATAATTTGCTTGTTGACAAATTAGACACATGTAAATCAAATAGTGAGTGATTATCCTTCTTCATATTTTTATAAATAAGACTATGCCATCACATGAGCTAAAGTTTGTCATCCTTCTTATGGCTTTCAGTCGGAGTGCAATTAAGTTATATTAAAATAATGTTCTTTTGAAATAAATTGATGCCAAAATGAAATGTCCATTAAAACAGATAAAGGATATAACAGAGATATTTTCTTAAGTTCCTTTCTATTGTGAATACACAATTAGTGTATTTTAGGTAAGGGTTACATCTCCAACTATAGCTGATCTATCAAACCTATTGTATGTAGTGTATAAGTAAGTAAATGTCATCCAAATTTCCAATTTATGAGAGAGATTAGTTTCAATGTTCAACTTTTTAAGTAGCATTCAAATAAAAATCCATCTAATTTCCATCTCAATAAATTTGACTAGTTTCAACATTCGTCTTTTTAGCTAGTATTCAAATTATACTCATTTCAATAATCGAAGACCAAAAGTTTAACAAAATAAAAAAAAAATCTTTATCTCTCTTATATATATTTATATTCCTTAATGCATTAACTATTGAACATTGTGTTGTTGGTCAATTCAAATGGTGAATTAGTATTCCAGCAAATATTGTATCTAAGGACCAATTGCTTTAGTGATCATATAGAGTTCCCATGCATATGTTGATGTCATCTAATTTGATAGTTTTGTAATAAAACTACTCCACTATAAATTCCTAAAGCATCTATCTTCATGATGGAAGGCAAGAAAAATAAAGAAAGTCTAAAATGATTAGAGAAGTTATTACATTTATTTAGTGAATTGAATGCATTTTCCCATGTGTTCTATTTATTAGAATTATGTTTTGTTAAAACTGTAGTTAAAGGGATAATAATCAATGCACAATGATATATAAAGTTCTAGTTACGTTGGTTAGACCTAAGATTGAGTCCCTATAAATATTTAACTAATTATGAACGAGATAATGACCAACCTCTACAATTGCTCTCCTCGAATATTGATAATGTCTCAAATACTCAATTTGAGTTTGAGCAATTAAACTTTTTCAGGTTCACAAAGAGCCGTGCCAGGAGAACTGATTATCAAGTGATGTGTTTTTATGTTTCATTAATGTCTTACTCTAAATAGGAAAATTCCTTTCTATTGTGAATACACAATTAGTGTATTTTAGGTAAGGGTTACATCTCCAACTATAGCTGATCTATCAAACCTATTGTATGTAGTGTATAAGTAAGTAAATGTCATCCAAATTTCCAATTTATGAGAGAGATTAGTTTCAATGTTCAACTTTTTAAGTAGCATTCAAATAAAAATCCATCTAATTTCCATCTCAATAAATTTGACTAGTTTCAACATTCGTCTTTTTAGCTAGTATTCAAATTATACTCATTTCAATAATCGAAGACCAAAAGTTTAACAAAATAAAAAAAAAATCTTTATCTCTCTTATATATATTTATATTCCTTAATGCATTAACTATTGAACATTGTGTTGTTGGTCAATTCAAATGGTGAATTAGTATTCCAGCAAATATTGTATCTAAGGACCAATTGCTTTAGTGATCATATAGAGTTCCCATGCATATGTTGATGTCATCTAATTTGATAGTTTTGTAATAAAACTACTCCACTATAAATTCCTAAAGCATCTATCTTCATGATGGAAGGCAAGAAAAATAAAGAAAGTCTAAAATGATTAGAGAAGTTATTACATTTATTTAGTGAATTGAATGCATTTTCCCATGTGTTCTATTTATTAGAATTATGTTTTGTTAAAACTGTAGTTAAAGGGATAATAATCAATGCACAATGATATATAAAGTTCTAGTTACGTTGGTTAGACCTAAGATTGAGTCCCTATAAATATTTAACTAATTATGAACGAGATAATGACCAACCTCTACAATTGCTCTCCTCGAATATTGATAATGTCTCAAATACTCAATTTGAGTTTGAGCAATTAAACTTTTTCAGGTTCACAAAGAGCCGTGCCAGGAGAACTGATTATCAAGTGATGTGTTCTTATGTTTCATTAATGTCTTACTCTAAATAGGGAATGTCATCTAAGAATCCATAATAATAAATCATAAATAAAGACAAATACTATCATTCATCATAAATTTAAAAATGGTTGTAATATCTGTTAAACCAAAGGAGTTAAGCATGAATTCCTAATAATCATGATGTGTCATATAGTTTATATTGAATACATCTTCTTCCATCTAAATTTGGTGATAACTAGATCATTAAGATATATATATATATATATATATAGATTGATCATTAAGAATCTCATTCCGCACATAGGTGGGATTCCGTGACCTTAGAGGTCTTACAAACTTTGTCAACGAATCAATCACGATAAATGGCACACACACACACACACAGAGACGCAAACATACATGCATTAATTAAACTATCAATTGTTGGAGTCGACAAATGATTTAATATTGTGACTTGATTCTAAGCACAATCATTAACACAAGTCGACAAGTGTCATCAGTTTTTCACACTAGCAAGACCAACTTTTCAATCACTATTTTCAAAAATATATGTATCAATATGGCCATACATGGAATATTTGGCACCCATAATTTGGAAATGACCCAACTAAATAACCTAAGTAGATCTTAACCAAAAAAAAAAAAAATTAGATTCAGTTTGACCTGATTAGTATTAGTGTTAGGTCTAGGTCTAAAATATATACTGGTTTATTATTTGGGTCAATTCATATTTGGGAATTGGATTACCTTTTAGGTTTGTGTGGATTAATTAGGTTAGTTGATTCATTTTCACATTAATATGGTCTTATTGATAAAAATATTACATTATCTATATAATAAATGGTTTAGATATGTCAATTTAGGTCAAGTTATGTTTAAATTTACTTTATTCACATTACATATTTTCACACAAGTAATAATCAAGTCAGATTCTGGTCAAGTGTATTTGGGTTGGTTCAAACCAAAACCCTATCCATCAACTCAAATTAATACCTCTACCCACAATTAAATGAACGTTCTTATAGAAGGTAATTCTATTAGAAGTTGAAATAGTTCCTTGAATTCTTCCATAAGTTTTTGAATAATGGGTGTGGCGTAGAGTTCATAAAACCCACTACAGTAATGTTTGGTCCTGCATTGGAATTATATGAAATAAAAAACAATAGTTTAGAAGGAAAGCATTCTCTAAATTTTGTAGGCTAAACACATGAAAGAAAGAATGTTCATTATCATGAATTTTATTAGGAGTTTATTTCAATGTAAATTTTAATAGTGTACCTTGTAAATCCAACCGTTATAACCCCAATAAAATGTTTGCTCGTCACACAAACAAGATATAAAAATCAGTTTTAAAATAGTATCTTCAATGATATTATCGTAATTTTGTACATTCAAGAGTATCCCCATCTCCAATAATAAACTTAAAGAATTTTAATGGCATGATCATCAGTCTAAGGTTTTGAAAAAAAAAATTGCCTTGAATGAAATTATGTGTTAAGCAATTGTTAAAATTAAATTTTAAATACCTTGCCATGTTTTTTTTCTTTTTTCTTTCTAATTGTAGTTTCTTATGTGTGTTCTAACCTAATAAAACATTGAAGCTGATTGCAAGATAAAAATCTTGGGATGGGCCCATATCAATGTTGGAAGAGATTGGAAATTTTTTAAAAGGGATCATTGTCAATATTTATCACCATTAAAACAAGCAATTTTTACTTACTAATGTTGTCATATTGATAGTATTCATTACAGTGAAAACTAAATTCTTGATCATCTGTTATTCAACTATGTTGTTATTAACATTTTCACTAGAAGAACTGCTTTTGTTATCCTAGTATCAGGCACCAATAAATTAATATTAGTAAGCAAAACTTGTAATAATTTAAGAAAACTTAGAATGGGAAAACATGATACAATAATGTAGATAATTTACGTTTTATAATTTATTTCTCTTTAACTTTGTAATTGGAATGTTTGTAATAGGAATAGTGATTGAAATGATCACATTCCCTTCTAATAGCTTTAATGAAAGGTTGTTCAAAGTCCCAAAATCTAAACGGATCGTTTTTTAAAGTGATTGTAGAATTATTTTAGTGATTATTTTTGGTATTATTTTTCTAATTAGTCTTATAGATCATGAGATAAGAAAAAAAAACAAAGCATTTAAGTGCATATTCTTTAAGGAAATCAAAACTTAATTGATTTTTCAAATGCAGCCACTCAGATCAACTCAATGTTTGGCCAACTACATGCTTTAAAGCTACTATAAAATTTGGTTCCTATAAATTGGAAGTGAAGAATTGTTCCCCTTTGTAAATTCATTCTTCTGGGTTGTTGACCATAATACATTATATTCAATTTAGTTTTTCTTGATTGAGATGGAAGCAAATTCTAAGGAAGGTTTAGGATTGATGCTCCAACTTGCTCTCTATTTGAGTCCGTCGTCTGAATCATAATCCAACTTGCTACCCATATGTATCATACACTTGTCCATCAATCTTGTGGTGGTATAAGTAGCTTTTACCAATAATGTGATTGGATAGTGCAAGAATAACCACTCATGAAATGAGAAAAATGACAATAATCAATATCAAAAATAAATTGGTATCACCATAATCGATATCACCCTTTCACCAGATGATAACAAATTGTCATGGATACGGAGAACTCAATAAATGCACCATTAGAATCCAAGAAATTCAAGCTCCTCAAGCTTCTTTATAAATATAACAAAGAGGTAATTGAAAGCGGAATGCAGAACTTGGTATCACCATAATCGATATCACCCTTTCACCAGATGATAACAAATTGTCATGGATACGAAGAACTCAATAAATGCACCATTAGAAGGGACTTACTATCCAAGAAATTCAAGCTTCTCAAGCTTCTTTATAAATATAACAAAGAGATAATTGAAAGCGGAATGCAGAACAAAAAGTAGAGATAAAAAAGTAAGGGATTGAAAAAATAAGGAAAACCCAACCTTTAATACAATCAACTCATCAATTATTTATATATTTCATTTCAACAAACCATTTTGTTATAGCCCACACTCACAAAAATCAAATCATCATAAACTACCTACCGACCATGAACTTATTTTTCTATTAATTTAAATAGCATTTGGAATAACACTTCTTCGTCAATCTAAAAAATTTTCAAACTCACATGATTCAGTTTTCTACTTTAAAAGAATTCATAACAGAGATTATTCTCACATTTTCTATATTGAAGTATTGTAAAGAAATTATAAATTTATATGAAAATATAGCATTTTAATAATAATTTAAGATTTTATACAACAATAAGTTGGTCTATTTTGGTTTCGGCATTTGCCTTTGCTCAGTTTTAGATAGATGGACTCATGAGAAGAAATATCTGATCAATGAATGAATGGATAATTAACAAGTTAATATATTAATTTTTGTAAATATATTTTGTAATGGTGTCTAATGTTTAAAATTACAGTAGTGCTTTGACTGTAACAAAAATACTTGTAGACAACTTAGTGGCTAATGCTTACAACTTACTAGATTTTAATTTTCCCATTTTACATGTTGAACTATGGATAATTAACAAGTTAATATATTAATTTTTGTAAATATATTTTGTAATGGTGTCTAATGTTTAAAATTACAGTAGTGCTTTAACTGTAACAAAAATACTTGTAGACAACTTAGTAGCTAATGCTTACAACTTACTAGATATTAATTTTCCCATTTTACATGTTGAACTGGGATTCATAGCGCCTTTAAAAAATTTAAAAATTTTACGCACTTGAATAAAATTTGATTATTAATAAACTATGTAGTCATGCCTGATAAAACAACAAAATGTTATTACATTGTCGCCTCCCTCCACCATCATCCATTTTATTCAAAATCATTTTTTAAATCTTATTATGGTAAAACATTATTAGTAAAACTCTTCAATGTTTTTGTTTTAATAAAGTTGTGATTTGTAACATTAATAAAATAGAAATTATTTTAGATAAAACTTGAATAGTAAAAAAATATTTTCGAATGAAGTGTGAGTTTTTGTCCTATCAATACATGTTTTTGAGCTGATTATTTAAAATACTTAATGAGAATATATTTGTATATAACTTTTATAAGGCACTAACTACATTATGTGGAATGTAAATAGGATCCGCTAGCACTTACATGATGTACAAAAGTTAAACATATTATTTGAACAAGCAATTAATTGCTGTTGTAAATTGAAATAATTTTAATTTGATGTCATCAATTAGTAACAGAAGACTTTATGGTTTGATCAGGTGTTAATGTGCTTTGTGGGGTTGGAATCCTCTCTGCACCCTATGCAATCAAGGAAGGTGGGTGGCTTGGCTTGTTCATATTATTTATATATGGTGTGATTGCCTTCTACACGGGGATTCTTCTGCGCAATTGTTTAGATAGTAAACCAGGTCTTGAGACATACCCCGACATTGGCCAGGCTGCATTTGGCCCTTATGGCCGCATTATTATCTCGGTGATTCTACCATTACGTACAATTATTATTCCATACTATTATGCAATCTAAAATTTTGTGGTAATAATATTTTCTTTTATTTCATCTATTTTGTGCAGATTATCTTATATTTGGAATTATATGTAAGTATAGGATTAGAATTAGTGGAGCAATTGTTTTAAATGCTACACTAATATATTTGTGATTTCAAACTTTTAAAATATGTCACTTTATCTGACATGAACTTTATGCAGGCTTGTTGTGTTGAGTACATCATATTGGACAGTGACAATTTATCATCCTTATTTCCAAATGCACATTTGAATATTGGTGGAATACATTTAAGTTCACATCTTCTTTTTGCTGTGCTTGTAACTCTTATAGTTCTCCCAACCACATGGCTTCGAGATCTTAGCATTCTTAGCTACATATCAGGTTTTGATTGTTTTATTTGTCAATTCTTTTACTAAATATTTCATGTTACTATTTAATTTTTGTTTGTGATATACATGTTTCTTAAATATTCCATCTTCAATTTCTTTGCCCCATTTTACTATAAATTTAATGTCTATAATTACTTCTCAAAACTCATTAGTGTCAACAGTTACATAATTTATTTTCTTAGATAGACAAAATGATTTTATCCTAACTTGAAAAAAAATTATTTTTCTTAGAGCACATAAGTTCTTTATTCAAAATCTTTCAAATCTAAACTCGCTTCTATTTTGAGAAATCCATACACAAGATGCTGATCTTATAAATTTTCACCTTTTTCTTTCAAGCTTTCTATTGCATAATCATTTATTGACTTTATTCATTGGCAGCTGGAGGAGTTATTGCATCAATACTAGTGGTGTCATGCTTGTTTTGGGTGGGATTAATTGATAATATTGGCTATAAAAATGAGGGTTCTCTCATAAATTTTTCTGGCATTTCAATAGCGATTGGCCTTTATGGTTATTCATACTCCGGCCATGCTATTTTCCCGAACATATACTCTTCATTGAAGAACAAAAATGAGTTCCCTGCAGTTCTTTTCACGAGGTAAGCATCCAGTATAATTTTATTTAGGATATTTGATACTAAATAGTCATTTTCTTTTTATTTAATTTAATTATTGCATATGATTTGCGCAGACACTTTATGTGCAAACTAGCTGGTTAAATAGCATCCATTATTCTATGGAAAAAGTAAAGGAAATATCATTATTAACTTAGCATTTTATTATTTAGGATGGTGTTAAACTTTATATTGAATGATTAAATTAAACTAATCAATTGCCTTGCAGTTTTGTCATTTCTGCTTTATTATTTGCTGGGGTTGCAATAATGGGATTTGCATTATTTGGGGAGTCCACTCAGTCACAGTTCACTCTCAATGTGCCATATGAATTTGTAGCCTCGAAAATTGCTGTTTGGACAACGGTATGTAGAAAATCACAAATTCTATAGAGTTATGATCTTATTCTTTCATTTAGAACATAATTTCTAAAATACTAAGAAAAAAATATAGTTCACTCTCAATGTGCCATATGAATTTGTAGCCTCGAAAATTGCTGTTTGGACAACGGTACGTAGAAAATCACAAATTTTATAGAGTTATGATCTTATTCTTTCATTCAGAACATATTTACTAAAATACTAAGAAAAAAATACGAAGCCATCGGTTGTGTCGCAATCGTCTTTTTTTTTGCTAACATTGTTTATTTAAATTTATTAAGAGTGAAGTAAGATCTTATTGTTCCCTTCCTATATATTTTGTTTCATTTAATAAATACCACATTTTTTTCATTCTAAAGGTCCTATTATCTCGATCAAACGCTAGTCAGGTTTAAATAACTAACTTAAAAGAATACAACTTCACTATTATTTCAAGACATATCAAATGAATTTTAGATTTACTTGCTAAACTAAAATGTACGTGTTTCGTTGATGAAAATCACATCTCCTTATTTCATCACTAGTAAAAAGGTAAAAAATGTTAGAAAATATAAGACAAAGGGAGACTAATGTTAGACCAATAGTTTTAATTGTTAAATATATTTTTAACCAAAAACTTTAAACTTATGGGTGACGCTCAACAACCTAATACTTCAACACTAATGCATTTTTGCGTACTAAAACCAATACTACTATGTTTCTTAATCAAAACTTTATTTGCATAAGAGGCTTCCATGAATTTTTTTTGTTAACACTATGAATGCTCTCAAAATTTGTTTTATCTTGTTTTATTTTGTTTTGCAGGTTGTCAACCCTATTACAAAATATCCTTGTCTTAGTAACATTTTCTCCATTATATTCTTATGTTCATTTCCAAAAAAAAAAAACATTAAATTTTTTTTTGTAGTAAAATATCTAACATTCACCCATTTCATAGAATTAGGTTGGGGAACAATTTTGCGTTAAAACTCAATTTTATTGTAAAATAATAGGAAAGATTACAAAAAATCAGTGCTTCAAAAAACAAAGAGCTCTTCAATAAAGAATGCTAGTGAAAATGCATTTTAATTGCTAAAGAGAATCACAGAATTCCAACACACCTTGAACAACATGAGTTAAACTCGAGACAAAGTTACTACTTTTAAAAGAGAAGGATAAATCAAAATTCAATAAAGAACATAGAAAATGAGGTCAAGTGTCTATTTGAACAGAAATAGTGAATCATAGGATTAGGTTTCTATTACCCTAGAACCTTCCACCAGTAAGTAAAGCCATATCAACAAGCAGTAAGAAAGTTTGTTCCCATCGATATGAAAATTAATGTTAAACGTAATTTTAATCATTCTCTCTACTCAAGGGTTATCAAGGTTAGAATATGATTATGATCATTCTCTTTCATCCAAATATTATATGTCAAATTAGATGATAAACATGGTAGAACTTTCATAGAATGTCGTAGGCATGTCTAAAGAGCTAAATCCAAGACTTGTGCTATACATGGCCTCAATAAGAAGAGTTCCCTTACAGGTAGTGAGGCTTTGATGAACTCCAAAGCTTAAGAGAAAGACCAAAATAAATGAGAGACTTTTTGACATCGTCAATTTCGATTTAAATTGAAACTTAATAGCAGGTAACAAGTCCTTATGTGAAAAAAAATTACCATGTAGGTTGGGCTTATAATTTGAATTCAATATTTTGCTTCATCCAAAAATTGTTAATCAATGTACAAGAGATAAAGATGGTATACATTCTTGAGATTATCATGGGTAAATCTCAAACTGCTAATAAAAGAGTTTTAATATTTGAAGCAAGTCCTTTATGAGATCTAGGGAGTAAGAGAAAGAAAAGAATAAATGAAGATGATTTTAGCAAATAATCGTATAAAAGAAAACAGTAAACTACAAAAAAAAAAAAAAAAAAAAAAAAAAACAGAAAACAGCCACTACACTTTAGTATTCTAGTATGTAAATTATTATCCTTAGTAAGTAACTTGTACAGCCACTACACTTTAGTATTCTAGTAAGTAAATTATTATCCCTAGTAAGTAACTTGTTAGCAGTTATTAAACCATTTATGCAAGATTTTCATACATAAATACAATAATGAAAAGAGAAGTCTTTGTGCCAAATGATTTCTTTTCATTGAATATCATGTAAATAGAGTGAAAACATTCTTCGTAGCTGAGAAAAAGAATAATAAGATTTAATTCAAATATATATCTTTAAATTCAATTTAAATAAGAATGGCCATAAGACATCATTAATATAAGGAGAAGATTTAAGAAAAGAAAATTTGCTGAAGGCCGATAGGATCCAGCTTAGGATTATGAGGTTGTATAAAAAGTGAAAATTAAGTATACGAATGGATCCATGACGGGTATTAATTAAGTAATGAACATGGGATAGCGAGAAAAATGAATTTTTATACAGTGTTCATCTTCCATGTATGGATGAGAATAGAAAGTGGCAACAACTCCAAGCCCCTCTTGCATTTGGGGCAAAGTGATTTGAGTCCAAGTAATGATATGCGGTTTGGGTAAAACCACCATCACAATTAGATTCTAGAACACCAATTGCTTACTTTGTTAAAAAACATACATGATAATAACAAAGATGCATGCAAATCAATATTATAGCTCTAAATAGTTGCCTCATTTAGTTGAATTATCTAGAAAAGGGGCACATGCTTGTGTTTCAAATGAGAAACCATTAAAATTTTTCCAGAATTAGAATACAATCTTTAACAAAAATTCTAGTGTGGGAAAGAATGATGCCCAAACATTTAAATAGGACATTAGGATGACCAAAATTAAGGATAACAATAAATGTAGCATATTGGAGATCAAAGTAGTTAGAAAAATTTTACTTAAATAATAACTAGCCAAAAGACTAATATTCTATGTAATTTGTTCAAACACTAATGAGCAGCAAGAAGAGATGCACACTTAACCTTTCTAAACATTAGCAAAACATTTGTATTATTATAATAGAGACATGAGATTGGTTGTGCATTATAAGTTCAAATGCCTACTTGTTGCAAATTTCTTCAAGAATGTAAAAGACAATGTCCATCATGAAATCAAAGGGAAATATGAAATCAAAGAATTCTCGCATTAAGCAATTACGAGTGTTGAATAACTTAAAAGACCACATTAATGATAAATAATCAGTAAATTCCACAATTAAAATCACCCATTAAATTAAAAGAGATGAAATAGCTTTGTCATTCATCTTAAATAAAATAATTTCTTTGTTAATGCTATCAATATCTGTCAATAAGATAATCCTTATGCAAAAGGTTCATAGGAGAATGAAGAGAATTAAAGCCTTGAAGAATATCCCAATGCAAACTATGATTATTAATAAAAAACAAGCTTATTCTTGAAGAAAACAATTAGAGTGAAGTAAAAAAGATGGTGCGTAACAAGATTAAGTTGATTAGCCAATAATTTTCAGTGATTTATGAAAGTAGTAAAATAATGTTTTATAGTTGGAGCGATTACATATTTGAAGATATTTTGCGATAAATTACTAAAATTAATTTGAACCGTATCAGATAGTTTGTAAGGGAAAAAATGTTGAATAGCGTAAGATTAATTGAGGTTGGAGATATTCGCAATCTACAATAAAGGGTTTTAAACTAAAAATAAGAACAAATATGGTAACGCTCTTGTTAATATTGAACGTAACCTCTTTGATATCATATTAAAGAAAAGGTAGAAAATAAATTTGATTGTTGAAAGGATGGATGATCCAACAAGATAAGTATAAGAAAAATGCTTATATAATTGGTTATAAAGATTAAAAATGTATTTGATTGGAATAAAAATATCAATAGGTTAGGATATTATCATAAAGGAATGAATTTGTTTCATTTATGATTTCTCTGACCATTTAAATTCTTATAACTAAATTTGAGGTTTCTCCCATTGAAATCTATAATCTTTACTAATAACAAATATTTTAGGCCAAGAGAATATCAATTGACTATGAATAAATAAAAGCTAGAAATTGATTGGAAATAAATTCTAGGGGGATATCCTTTAATCCGAATTCTACATATAACTAACACCATCATATTATTTCAACAATCTTAGCTTGAAATTATTTTCTTCACTTTAGCCTATAGACGCGATGTAATTAAAGATGGAGTGAATTAAGGTTCTTGCACTCAATTCTTTTATCCTTCCAATGGATGCCTAACAACTTCCACGATAGGGGGATATCCTTTAATCCGAATTCTACATATAATTAACACCATCATATTATTTCAACAATCTTCATCATGAAAGGCTTGAAATTATTTTCTTCACTTTAGCCTATAGATGCGATGTAATTATAGATGGAGTGAATTAAGGTTCTTGCACTCAATTCCTTTATCCTTCCGATGGATGCCTAACAACTTCCACGGTGCAAAGGTTATGAAAAAAAAAGAGAAATTGAATA